TGCTCTGTTATAGAAGAATCTGAAGTCTAAGATGATAATCTTTTTTTTTTTGTGATTTTACAAATTAAACTGTTCTAACAAGAGTCTAATAGAAATGAAATCAATTATTTATCAATAATATTAAAATTGATCATATAATTGAAATTCTAAAGTCTACCATCCGGAAATTAAAGGAACGAGCGACCAGTGTTACTTGTTTATCAACGAAAACCGCGATGGAATACCAACGGTCCCCCATGACCCAGAGAAAAAAGATGACGGAAGAAACCGGGGACAAAGGCCATTAGCATGTTCGTTTTGGTTTAAAATTTAAATCGCTGCGAAGAATCGCGGAAGGGTCGACGTCTACGTCGAACCGGAAGCGTCTCTTTAAAGTCTTCAACGACTATGTGTTTCTCGATCAACAAAGATGACCAAACAAGATAAGAACAAGGAAAAAAGAAGCACCAAGAAGAAAATAAGGGAGGAAAAGGCGCGAAACTTGGCCAGCTGCTGGTCCAGATTTTCGGGTTCAACAACGGCAATAAAAATCATCAGAAAGGAGAAGCAAACTCATACTGGAGATTTTTCAAGGCCACCCTAAACGTTCAACGTACAGAGCACTCTTCAAAATGAATTTCGACACGCCATTGGCTAGATACGAAGATTTTTCCTCGACAAATTCTGAATGGAACGTTCAGATTGGTCGTTCAATGGTCGAATGGGGGTTTTTTGGTGGGATAAGGACGGCGAGAGAACCTGCTGGGGGTCGTTCACGATTCACTGGGGGTCTTCTTCACGCGTACACAGGGGTGGAAGAGCAGAGAAATTCTTTCGTTTAACAGGGTGCACGTGACACCGGTCTGACCGGATCTAAACTGTGAGAAGATACGTTGTACGTGGTCCGCGGATGCGAGCCTGAAGGAGTTTCGGGGTTAGCCAGCTTTGACCCAGGTCTTCCTCGTTGCTGGGGGCACGAACTACCCCCTTCATCCCCGCGACTCGTTAGAATCCTACCGCCACTGGGTTATTTAAAGGGAACGATCGTTTTTACTTCCTGTCCGCGAGACAGTTTGAATTTTTAATGAATCCCTGCACTTGGGAACTGTGTCATCGGTATGTTTCTAGTTCCAAACAGACGAATCTCGCCGCCACACGATGCTACGTGTGCGACGAAACGGACACATGGATCGATGATACATGGTTTTAACTTTAGATATTGGTAAAACTTTGGCAAACGATTCGAATCGACTCATCACGGATAAATTTAGAACGAGGGTAATGAAACGGGCTATTTTTTAAAATTTTGGTATATTTTAATGTAACGAGCGTCCCATAAAATTGAAATTTCAAGGGGAATAAATGCAATTACATTACGCTCGGCAAAAGAAAACGGAAGAATATAAAATTTTATACATTTTCAAAGTAGAAGCAGATATAAAGTAACTTCTCTTACAAACAGTTAGGAACAGTTACAGATGTAAAACATCCTTTCTGCAAGGCGGAACGAGTTTATTCGAATGAACTGTAACTTCCTGTATATGTACTTGAAATAAAAAATAACCAACATGGAAATTCTCATTTTAAACATGGTTGTCAAAAATATTTATCTCTTTTAACGTCACACTGAGTTAACTGTTTTCCTGAGACAGAACAACTGTTGTTCCGTGTCGAATGGAATCTCGTAGGGAAACGAAGCGGTGCAAAGAAGAATTACGGTTGTATCGTTACGTTTACAAGAGTAGAGAGACGGTTCGATGTCGAGTAGTATCCCGACGGGATAGAACGTAGAGAGAATAGGTGCAGTCCCGTTCTGTCGCGGTCGTTTGCGCTATCGTAAGTTTATGTCGTCGGTTGCAGGGCTAACCTCTGCCACCCTCTCGCGCCCTTTTATACGACACGATAGTTTCGTCGCGAAACTGCCGCCCGTTCACATCTGTTGCCTTTCCCATTACCCTGCGAACATACACCAGCCCATTTGCCGGCCGGTAAACTGAAGTGCTCTCTCAATTTCGTCCTCCTCTTTCCCTACTCCTCCGGGTTATGTTCTTTCGCGATTAACACGTTACGGATAAATATTTATTTTTAAGTTATATTATCTTGGCTATTGCATTATCTACGATCACGAATTTTGAATAAAATAATTTTCAATCAAATAGTAGGTTTACTTATGAAATAAAGGCAAGAATAAGTTGAAGAAGTTCCATTTCTCAGGAGAGCAATTTAAATTTTGAAATATCAAAAACTAGAAATGTATATAAATGGTATAATAAGCAATTTTCATCATCACCGTCACAAACACGAATCCCCATGGAGTTTCTTCGTAAAGATAAAGCCATACGTACAGACCGAATCCCTTGGATCCCTTTCATTACTATGCCGTAGCGTATTCAGCAACGCGTACCAGATCGTATTAATTTAATTCGCGCTCTCTTTATCTTATAGCGTTGCAGGTGAAACTACGCCTTGATCATGCCACTGATTCGTTTCTCAATTTTATTCGAGCTCACGTTCGCGAACACCGTACCCCGTGGAGTTTCTTTCATTCCGCAATCCACGATATTTATTATTATTGCCAACGTTCTATTTACAAGCGAAATTTTCCTGATCCTCTCTGACCCTTTCCTCGACGATGGTCCAGCAGAGTGCATACATATTAATGAGAACGAACGATCGCGAAGCTGCGACTCCGTTTCGTTTCTCTTCTCCTCTTCCTTATTCTACTATCCTGATTTTCCTACTTCCTCTTCGTATCCCATTTCCTACCACTGTCACCGGTTAATATCGAGGATTTCCCTTCGTTCCACGTTCCTGTTGCTTCTTTTTGGAAGCTTGAAATTGGAACAGAGCGGTGGAAAGAGAATATCTGTGGAAGATTTTCTTCCCTGCCTTTTTTCTTCCTTTTTGTTGTGGCCTTTTATAATGTCGAGGACTCTTTGATGGGGTATATTCAAGTCTTATTTTAATTCAAATGTTATGACAAAAGAATTATAGACGTAACGATAAATGGAGCAACTTTTCAAATAAAATTCAACTGGTAGAATAATTATTCTAATACTGTTTCAATGATGAAGGAATTAGATTCATGATTCTACGTTTTAATACAAGGAATCAAAACGTACCCAAAGGGTTAATCGTATCGATTCACTTTCCTGGGTTATCAAATATTACTGGCAGATGAAGTTAACTAAAATGACCGAAAGGTGATGGCACCCACGAGTAGCAGAACTTGGAGACTCGTAACTGTTATTGCCACGTACAGATCGAAGAGATCGTCGACCAGAGAAGACCCGAGAGAGAAAACGATTTAAGATAATCGAGGAACAGCTCGTCTTCTCGCGTACAGCCACCGATGGAATAATTTTCGACCGACTGCTTCCTCGGTCCCGGTTCTTTATTAATATTCCTCGAGGTTCAGGAGTTAGGTTCGCAGCTGTGCGCGTCGCGATTGAAAAGAGCCGGGGCAGGTGCTTTTGGAATTTGAATGGAGGGGAAGCCGGTGGAGCGGGTTACTTGCGATTGCAAATCCTTTCTGATTCGATCTCCACTCTCCTTCGCTTCTCGCTTTCGCGGGTCATCATGCTCGAAATTGTGTCAGGAAATTGGCAGACGCGATTCTAGCGGAACGATCAGATTTTACCGCTTCTTGAACGTTTAATTATTATTGAATGGAATACGCAGAATTCTGTTGAATTCTAAGAATCAATCCTGTTTTCACAAAATTCAATAATAAAAAATAATCTTCGGTTATTTGATGATATAAGTCATCGAATTATTTTCGAATGACACTGATCCGCTGAAAGCTTGCAGAATAGAATAAAATTCGAGTGGATATCACCGTGGAGTGTTGATTATTTCTTGGACCAAGGTCCCGGAGAATCCTCCACCAATTCCTGACCAATTACGACAGTTCCTACGTCTTCGTAGGGTAACGACGATTTCTTCACCCACCTCCCCTTTCTGTTCATCTTCTACTGTGACGTCGGCAAAGATCTCATACATATTAATGACGATCCGATCGATTTCAGACTACTCTCGCTTCTTGCTCTGTTTAGGGACATCGACGTTTCGCTGGGCATAAGCCCTTCCGCCGCCCACAATGGTTATTATGCCATTAACGTAATGAAGTTAGGTGGTGCTGAAGGTTCCGGTGGTTGGCCACCGGTTCATTCGAAACACGAAGAACATCATAAAACGGCAAGGAATATTTGAACAACATTCGCGGTTAATTATGCTGTTGTCGATTATTTAATTTTTTCATTTGAAAAAGAAAAGTATGAAATTTTTGCTTGATATAAAAACAGAATGAATTTACTACTTTAAATTCTATCAGTTCGTCACGAATGCTTTAAAATGTTGATTTTCACTAATGCATTATACTTGCCGTTTATTGTTCTTTTATATATATATAGATTGAAGCTAATGGTAAACAATTTGTCTCAGGGGTGGACTGAGTAACTACTATTAGATCGATTAAGTCGACACACGAGGTGCATTGCTGATATGTTTAGGTGGTTGGAAACTGAATTCCTTGTGGTAACAACGTCAATGTTTGTCGATTGTATTTCTTGTATCAACAATTGAGAACCGCGCGCTGTGAATCATGACTGTTTTCATCCTACTGGAAATCAAACCTAATTTGTATAAAACATCAACGCCAAGCGGTGTTCCAATTTCGTTATTAACTGTACGTTATTAAGCAAATATTGTTACTGTATTTTGAAACATATAACTGGGCATTTCTAATTAAATTAAACCAACCTTGTATTATTTTCGAAGAAATTTTTCATACCATTAAGTCTACTTTAAGAAAGTGTAAATTTAAATCACCTGTTTTTTGTTTTTAACACTGCTATTCAGTCTTTGGTTTTTAAAATATTAGAAAACATCAAAGCAATAAACCTAACTACTACATCCTCAATTTCAACAATGTTAGTTCTACCATAGAACAAAAGAAATTAAACGTCAAGCGAATACAACGTGGAAGATTAAACATTCAAACGTTGAAAACCATTACTCACCTGAACGTGACTCCAGACTTTTGGTTTCGGGCTGGACCTCGCGTTGCTAGTTGCATTCGAACTTCCGGAATTATTCGAAACATTTCCAGACGAGGTTGTGGATTTGACGGACGGTTTTTGCGTTTTTTGAATCTGTGCTGTGACTGTTGTTGACGAATTGCTACGCTGCTGTTGAGATTGTTGCTGCTGTTGCTGTTGTTGTTGCGTTTGTTGCATGATCTGTTGGATGAGCTCCAGTTGCTGTTTTGTGAGGCCATCGTTGCTGGCACCAGGAGACGTGGCACTCTGTAAAACACAATTAAGAAAAAGAAATATTAATAGCTGCTCCGAGTTGTAGAACTTCAAATATTCAAGTATAATTACGAAAATACCTATATAATCCTCTCAGTAATAAAACCTACCCGCAATATTTCAAATAGGGAGGAAAAATTTTTAAAAAAGAGAAAAAAAATGATGGAAATATTCTGTACGATAAATTCCGGAGAGAACAGCATGAAATCGAAAGGAGAAAAGGAACGAGGTGAAAAAGAATAATGAAAAAGGGCAATGCAAGTGGAGAGAAAAGAAAGAAATCTGGCACGCGCGAATACGAACGAAAGAAGAGCGCATCGGTGATCGTTTTTCAACGACATCATGGAAAAATCGTGGACGCCTGTACGCTTTTTTCGACTCGATGGGAATTGCGAATGACGAACACGAATCACAAAGGGACACGACAGATAGAGGGAGGTGGTTCTGGATTTCACGATTTTTAATTAAGAGACGGTCCCATTGGGTTACCACGGACACACCCGCTATGCCATTCGTGTCATCGTTTCTGAACCCGGTTTCCTGAATTATTCGCCTGTGATCGGCCGGCCATTCAATACTCCCTTCAACCGTGCCAACGTTTCGGTTATTACGAACGACAGCAGCGTGTCGAAAAATCTGCGGGATAATCGATTGGACAGCGAGATATGTGCGAAATATCTGGCTTCAATTGTTTCTTTTTTTTCTCCTCTACGATGACACCGACTTTTTGTATTTTATACTTCGGTTAAAATTTAGGATCGTTCCTCAAAAATTGCAAAGGAATAATCAATAAACTAGAATTTAAAATAAAACGAATTACTTAACTTGTCAGAAAGAAAATTTTCAATTGAACGTTTCTATAGCGAAAGGATTAATTGCATTGAAATTACTTCGAGGGGAAATAATGAAACAGTACTTCGTTTAAACTAAAATGAAAAAAAAAAAACCATATTCTTATACACCTAAAATACATAATTATAACGTAATGTAGAACTGATAATAAAATATATTGATTTTTGCAATATGAATGCTTTCATAATTTCAAGAAAGAAAAAGAATAACATCAATTGAAGTGACGTGAAATAATTGTACACCAGCCGCTAATCACTTTTACGCGGACACAACGAGTGCACGTATGAACCAGGGGTGCGTCTGTAGGGGGTGGTTCAGCGGCCGACACGAATTGGACCGTCGATTAAAATTGGATTTGTTAATTAGCGCTGGGAATGTGGCGGCAACCGTTCCCGATCCAACTCATACCTTATTAAACCTTCATCTCGTAATTTCCACGCTGCCATTCGTCATCGTTGTAATCAGTAGCCAGTTATTTTCCCACCCCCGAAACGCTCGCTTCATATTTTATTTATTTCTTTTTTATCTTCCTGACCAGAGGGACACGATTAATTCTAAGACACTTCGCGATCCGTGTTTCACGATCAATTAATTTTCAAATTTAAGCTTCCAGCAATAATGCAAATATAATGAAATTTAATTCTTTTTTTTTCTACTATCCATCATCAAAAAGATAAAATAAAACAACCACGCGCAGCCACTTAACTCGGCCAAGCAAATATCGGATAATTATAATTAAATATGTAGAATATTTAGAAGCAGAACCGTACGACCAGCTCGCTTCATTGCTTATAAAGAATTAAACGCGTGAGATTGCATGCACAAGCAGCGTATGATGTTTGTCTTCTAAATATGAAACCGGTTTACCAACAGTCATTGATAATTACATTATGAGAAATTATGAAAAATCCATTATTCATATTTTGAACTTTAGATTTATCATTGTATAGGAAAAGATTAATTTATCTTTGTATTACAGATAAACGAAACGCTCGACAATAAGATTATAGTTAAAAAAAAGGTTACATTTTCGCATAATCAATCATTCAATTTTTTTATTCCTAATATTTATCACATTTTTCTCGGCATATCTAAACCTAAGCTTGTCATGCACGTCCACCTTGCCAGGACTATTTGTAATCATAACAAAGTGGCTCCAGACACGGTCCACGAGGAGAGGGTATTTGTTAGCCACGAGCTCGCGGATGTTCGTTCTTCAAAACGTCTCTGAAAGTTTGCTGTTATCTCTTGTTGAACGAACGAGCTTCCCTGACAAATCGTCGTTTCCGACGATAGCAGAGCGAGTGTCGACGAACACCACTGCTCAGACTCGCTTTCACCCTCTTCCTTCCATCCCCTCCCGCAGCCCCTGTCCACCAGGCACTCTCTTTGCCTCATCTTTCTCTGCGATATATATATATATATATATTGTTAACAAATGCGAACGACATTTTTTCAGATCAATCTAACGTTGGTTTAAAATGGAAAAAGTTTTCAGCCTTAGTGCTCTTCGAATAGAAATGGACATTTTAGAATTTTGAATTCTCTGATGAGCAATATTGCGGAAAGAGACTGAGATGAAATTTAAAATTTAAATTACTGTAAAGATATTACAGTTCTTGGAAAACTGAAAAATATTCCTAAAGTTATACTTCAATATTCTTTTTTTCACTTACAATTAGATATTTAGTGTCGCTTTAACTTCTAAGATAAATTATTAAGAATTCAAATTGTAACACGAATTTACAATTTACACAGAAAACTAATATTTTTAAGAAATTTCAATAGCTAAAATTTCCACCATAATTTTCCAACTGCATCGAACTCCATTAAACCTCGCATATTGTACCTTACATTAATTACAACGCGAATTTCCAATTAATCATTCGTTTCTGTAATGTGTTCTTTATCTTCAGGAAAAAAATTTACACACGTTATGAACGTCATTATTGGTACGGATGTATCGATGATCATCGCCCTAAATCCCTTCCTTCCCTCGTTCGATCCTACTGAACGATACAACGAGCGGGTTCTCGCGATTTTCAGGATCCATCGTTCTCACGCGAGAATCGCATTATTTTTCTGCTATGTTCCCTCCATCTTTCACGTCGCTCGCACGCTCGTTCATCATCCGCCTTTCTCACCGGCGACCCACTTTTCCCGACACCCTTTCTCCACCCTCTACCCCTCCCCGCCCGTTTACGATATTTCAGCGTCTCCGTTCTATTATTTATAAGCGTGTACAACGATACTTCTTCTTCTGCCCGTTTCCGCCTGGCATTTTTATTTCAATTGTCCCTCCGTGAACGGGAAACGTGAAGTTTTTAATTGTTCCCTCGCCACGAGATCGTTTTTTCTACGCTTGATGTGTGATTTTTTTTTTTTCTATTTTATTTTCATACGTTCCAGTGGTTTTGCCTGGAACTGTTATGTTTGTATACAGGGTGCACCAAAAAGATCATAAATTATGTATATATAAATACATAACATTTACTACGTATTTATTTATTTATTTTTTGTTAATTCACTTACCCCATGCATTGTTTAATTTGGTTACGTAAATTTAATTAATTAGCCAAGCTATCGCGAACATTAAATCATAGGTACATTTCAAACAATCTCGTGTAAGGATATACCGCTAAACAATACTGCGCAAACATTTATGGAGATGCAATTCAATTAATTATGTTAATTAAGATACTTAATAACATACTCGATAATGAATCACGTTTATTAATGGCCGTACTATTAATTCGTTCGCGATATTCCGGGGAATAAATATTGATTCACCACCCTCGTATAGAGAGCGCTTCAACTTCAATTTCATTTACAAGTAAATTCCAAGGCATTTTGTTTTTCAATGATTGTAAAAACTCTGCATGATAATTATTAAAAAATTTCTGTTTCTTTTATGAATATTAAGATCTCAATAAATTTTTCTAAAAAGTAAAACAAAGATTTTGTATTAATAATACTTTTCCAAATGCAAATAATGTAACACCCTATATACGGTATCCCATATCGCGCTCGTGGGATGGTAGAACGATCGAAAGGCTTCGCGTGGACGGGAAATGGAAGTTTGAAAATGTATTCCAGCATGAGTGACACGTATGTTATTGTCGGGAGATCGGCGAACGAGCATCCGGCGTGCAGGTAAACGAGCAAAGAGAGGCGGAGACGCGTGGAAGATGATTGCACGCGTGTTACACCTATGAAAAATTATGGTCCATCGAGGTACACTGACGTGCATGGTAATAGCGTTAGCAACACTGGAAAATGAAATTCGATACGATACGCGTAAACAGCTTTCAGCCACGATCCAGGTAAAACATGGTTCAAATGATTTGAATAATTTTCAGAAACTGTTACACACAGTAGAAGACTATTTGAGAGAAATAATGTAATAATTATGTAAAATCCTATATATTTAATCGCAGAGATACATGAAAAATGTTCACAGTTAAAAAAGATATAACTTTCGTAATTTACTTTCCAACTCACCGAACTAAAAACCTTCTCTTTTTAACCTACGTTTCTTAGCTCGTTTATAGGAAAATAGATTCCCTCGCGTCACCGTGTCTGTTCACGGCGAAAGGAAGAAAGGCAGGTAAGAAAAGTTAGTCTTAAGTGCGTCACTTCAGGAACAGCGGGGCAAACACGCTAGCCAGCGGCAAGTTTCAAATGAAAATTGACGGGGTACAATGAAAATATGTGGCCAGAGGAAGATCTTAACACCTGGCTACCCAATGTTGAGGTCTCTAGGTACCAACGACGAACTTGGACGAATTAAAAGTACGGGAACGATCCTTTTTTTTTTTTTTTTTCATAACTTGTCAGGAAAACTTGTTCCTCTACGCGTCTCGTAATGAAGTTTCTTTTTCACATCCGTCATCTCCCTTTACCTTAAATTTTTAAGCTATCGCGTATAACCGGATGTAATTGAATTTTGGGTCTACCAGAGAAATTGCTGACCCGGACTGAACCCGAATTTTCGGACACCCAGACACCCTTACTTTTTCCTGAAAATTCTAAGCGCACGATGCTTTTTTCTAAACTCCAAAGCTCGATAAAAGAAGCTGACAATTTTCCGTAAGCAAGACAGAAAACAACCAAAGAGGTTCGAAAAAACGATACTCGAAGGT